AAATTAAAGCTCAAGGTGGAAACCAAGTTTTGGTAAAGTATTTCAGCTGTCACCACAATACAAGACACGAAGGAGTTAAATTTCCTGACCAAGTTCTGGTATCGGAGACAAACAGACGGTTTGAAAATACTGATTGTCCATATTCAATGATAGTGAGAATTAATAAAAAGAATGACGCAGAAGACATCTGTTCAGTTATTGATATTGAATGGAACCACAACCATTCAGTGCAATCATTCCTTAAGTTTTAAGGATATCCCACCTTTGGTCACGAGTCGAATGCTAGTGGGCTTCTACCTGGTGCAGCTTATCGGGGACTGTTGAGGTAACTCAGAAGTGAATACAAGGATGTTTTGGAATACCATCAGAGACTTTCCGATCGGTCGGAAGCTAGTACAACAAAGAAAGGCTTTTAATTATATATATATGCGCGGAGTTCAGAAAAGAACACTTTGGAACTAGCATGTTTTCTATCCTGGAGGAAAGAAAAAAATCCTGAAGGAGGCAGATGAAGAGTTTACCAAAGAATACCAGTTACCATTTGATGAAGAAATTGAAAGAAGGGAGTTGAAGCCATGTATATTTTTAAAAGACAGTTTATATACGTTAATTCAACCTTAAAATTCAAGCGATTCGTCAACCATGACATATCACATTAACACTTTCAGTATATTTAATTTAAAGTACAAAAGAGCAAGGGAATTCCAGAAAACATCCACATCTCCCCCACAGAGAAATTTGGAAGTTGACCCCCTTCCCTTTCAGATTCATTGCTTTATGTACATGTGAAGTTAAATCCCAGTGATCAACGATTCATGTATTACCCAGGATCAAAGAATTTACCATGCTTATCAGTCATGAGTCATGCCTAACAGGCATAGTAAATTCTTTGATGGCGGGTAATACCAAATTATTTCATAGAGTTGAATTATTGAGCACTAACAAAGTATTTATTCAATGAATATTTTCTCTCTACTTGCAGATTGCACAATCCAACGATTTTGCATTCTTGGATTCTTCTTCCAACAAGGAAGAATACAATATTCGTGTGTTCGTTATGGTGACACACAGTGTTTGTGGTGCCCTTCCTTTGGGAATTGTGTTAACAAGTGATGAGAAGAAACAAACGCTTGTTCATGCTTTGCCCTTTTATGGAGCGTATCCATCAACTGGACCAAAAGTCATCATGACAGACAACTGTAGTGAACTACGCGAAGCTTTAAAAATGGTCTGGTCAAATGCAACGACAGTCTTATATATTTCCATGTGCTCCAGCAGATATGAAATTTTAAAGATGTTCTTACAACATTGTTAAATTCGCTTCTTTATCGGTATGATAGCATACATGTTTTGAATTGTTGTCGCGGCATGTTCCTTGTATCTTAATATAGATGTATCTTAGCTAGCCTGGCGGAAAACTTGTTAAAATTTGATTGTTATATTCAGGGGCGAAACTTCGGTATTACTGCTGGGGGGGGGGGGGGGGG